GCCTCCACAGCCTCCACAGCCTCCACAGCCTCCACTGCCTCGCGCTGCTCTTGGCACCATGTACCTCGCTCTGATGCTGGCTCAGAAGCTTGCGACATATTTCTGCTTCTTCTTTTGCTCATGATGGATGGGATCTATTTTGCCAGTAGCTTTCATTTTAATTTTAGAAATTTGTCTCTTGTTGGCTTAGATTCTAATTCCTTGGATAAGTGATATCCAAGGGCCACTGAAAATTCAGCTGCTCTAAGATTTCTGTTCTAAAACTGTCCCAGTTAACTTTTCTTTCAAAAGCCAATTCACTCTTTTGCTGTGGCTAAAGTCCATCCCCTCTTATCCTAGATACAAAGAAGAGCTGAAAGGGCTGTGGGAGATGAGAAAACAGGAAAAAAGAAGCTTTTCACAGGAGGCCAAGAAATGGGTCTTTTGGCCATGCTGTAAGAGGCAGAGGGGTGGGGGTGTGAAATGTCAGCTCACAGGAGTTTTGCAAATACATACATACGCCAATTTATAAGAAAGTACATTCTAGAAAAGTGAAACTACAGATAAATTAGGAATTATAGGCTGGGCATGGTGGAACATACCTATACTCCCAGCACTTGGGAGTTTGAGGCATGAGAATTATTTTAAGATTGAGGCCAGGGGGCTGCGGCGATGGCTCAGTAGAATGAGCACTTCCCTGGCAAGTGCAAGGACCTGAGTTTGATCCCCGGTTCTGCAAAAAAAAAAGCCAGCCTGGGCTTTACATTGATGAGTTCAAGGCCAGTCTGAACTACATGAAGTAGTTCAGAGACCTGTCTCAAAAAAAATAAAACAAAACAAATATTAAGAATTATAGCATACACAGCAAGAAAATTCAATAGCTTCTCTTTAGGAACAGCAGGTTTCCTAGATTTCTTTGCATCACTTTTTTGGGGGTGTGGGGAAGATCAGGAATTGAATCCAGGGTCTTTTCACTGAGCTAAATCCTGAGTCCTTTATTTACTTTGAGATAATCTAAGTTGCTAAATTACCCAGGCTGTGGGCTGGGCTCAAATTTAAGATATTCCTGCCTCAGCCTCTCAGAGTGCTGGATTACAGCCATGAGCTACCATACTCAGCTTTGTACATCTCCGATAATACCCTGACAGCTCATTGCCCCTTCCGCCTCGCCTCTGAGGGAAATTCTGAAAATCAAATAGACGTCACGGAGAAAAGAGAACACTTATTTCTAATTCTCAGACCCTTTTCAAAGAATACAACAACCACTGCAACAGACCTCCTCAGACCTAAGCTTTTTACTGGAACTATGCAAAGTGTGGGCTGGGCTGAGCGTGGCAGCACACACCGCAGCCCCAGCACCGGGAGGCTGAAGCAGGAGTATCACTGCACGCTTGAGGCCAGTCTGCCCATGTGGCAAGAGCCTGTCTCAAGAGGACAGAATAAATAAATAAAAGTTTGATGAACTCAGGTAAAAAAGGAAAGGGCAGGAGGACTCCCCCCACCCCCAACCCCACTTCCTTGCTTACCTTGTAGCTGTTCGATAAGTGTCCAAGCCATCCGGGAACCGCTGGCATCAAATACCACATGGCCCTGAGGAGACAAGCGCAGAGGAAGGCAGAGGGATAAAAGCCCCAGTGGAGAGAACATCAGGGACTCTGAAGGCGCCTCATTTTGATGTAACCGACTTCTGAATGAATACTATTTATGGCACTTGCCTGCATATAGGACACACCCCAGATGCCCATACCCTAGATTTCATCAACATTATTCTTTGGAGAAAAAATTTCACCCAGGAGATTTGAATAGGAAAGATCCCCAGAGGGAGGAGACCTAGCTTCCATCTGTGTGACCCCAGCAAGATGCCCAGGCCTACTGACCAACAATTTTCCTACTTTATGAGATGAACTTCCAGGTTGTTTCCTCTTTTAAAATCCTCCAAATCTCATCTGACTCCCTAAGTACCTAGATTGGTTTTAAGAAGAAATGAGGGGAGAAACAGAATACACCATGTTATGCTTTGTAGTCTTTTGTAGAATTTTCTGATTTTAAGAGTCCCTCCTCTCCTAGTAGGAGAATGTTTTTTTGCAGATAGGTAACGGAGAAAGATGAAGAGCCAGGCTTGGTGATGCACACCTGTAATCCCAGCACACAGGAGACTGAGGCAGGAGGATTGCTAGGAGTTTGAGGCCAGCCTGAGCTACATAGCGAATTCAAAGCCAGCCTGAACTGCATAGAGACCCTGTCTCAAAAAAGAAAACATTTTCTAACAGGAGCAGGATTAGGGGTGGGGGATCCTCTATTCATTTAAGGACACAGGAGTAAAAGAAAGGTGCTCTAACTCACAGAGACGCCCTCGAAGGATGAGGAGTTCATTGCTCGGTAAATCTGGTCAGTAATGGTCTGGTTGTTATAGTTGAAGTCCTCCAGGCGCACACCTGAACGGCCACCTCCTCCAGATGTCTTGTTCAAGGCCAAAGCCAGTGCCCAGATGGCGTCATAGGCCAATGGTGCCTCCTGGAAGCCTCCTGTCTCCTCAGGGTGTCTTTTGAGTCGCTTGGTTAGTTTCTCCACAAATTCTTGGGATGTCTGGGGAGGGAAAAACAAGCGCAAAGGACTAGCATGTGTGCGGGCAAAGCAGGAGGGGCTGCCACTTCTCACTGCAACTCTTCGCAGGACTGGAGGGTCTCATCCTGTGATCCAGTAGAGCATGCACACAAGCCTGCCTTGGATGAGGGGCTACTGGACGTGGGCAGGCATTCGCAGAGGACAGTGGCCTCAGTACTCAGCTGCCGGCTCAGAACTACAGAGAGGTGTGCTGCGTAAACACTCTAGATCACGAACAGCAGAGGACAGGAAGTAGGAACAGAGGAAAGGAAGAAATGTGATACTGTCAACAAAGACTCGTGATGCTGACGCGCTCTCAGCCTGTAGACTTTGAGTAGAGCTGATCTCGGATCTAACAGCTCCTCCAATTCTGAAAAATCCTAGAAAAGGCGACAACACATCTTTCTCACTCTGCTTGTCAACCAGGAAGATCTGTGACTTCAGTTCAATGACTCTTGGCGGGTTTTCAGAAGACTGGAGACTGCAGAAATACCCTTCACAATCTTGAAGTGTTATTCAGTCCCACCCACACTTCTCTCCACATTCAACCAAAACTAAACAGAATGGCAGTTCTTTAACCTTCATGAGATGGATCCACCAACCTACCTGACACGGTGTACCTGACAGTAAACCTGTTTGCCGTAATAATCAGGGATGAATCTTGGAACTATCGTCCACATGATAGAAAAATCACATCTTCCTTTCCACACCCTCCAGAAACACATGAAGAAAAGCTTAACAACTATTTCTGGCAAAGCACAAGTATTACACATGTTAACACAGACACTCTCATGGAATGAAGAGATAAAAATGAAGAATGAATAGCTTTTTCTATCCATGCTCTGATCACTTTTTTCTTTTATCTAACTTCCTGGAAACAGCCAGCCACAGTAAAAACAGCCTGGGCTTTGAAGACACACAAATTAAACTCTAATCACCACTGACGACAAGATTATTCTACATTTCTCTCTAACATTAGCCATGGGCCCAGTCCATAATAAACAATAAGCATCCATTGGATTAGGAGGGAAAATGAAAATATTGTGTATCTTACTATCATGGTACATACAATACACTTGTAAGTTACATACATTTGTAGAAACCTAAAATACCAAGAGTTGTTGTAGGGGCTGGGGAGATAGTTCAGTTAAATAATGCTTGCCTGGCAAGCACAAGGGCCTTAGTTCAATCCCTGGCTCCACAAAAAAAAAAAAAAAAAAAAAAAAAAAAAACATATTTATTGTAAACCATGGACACCACCAGACTAGGACCTGCTGACGCAGTTTCCAAAATGGTAACCAATGTACCACTCCAGCAAGCAATGCTATTAACAGGAAAGGCTATGTATGTGAATTTAAAACTGCTCTATAGGGCTGGCCAGACAGTTCAGCAGACTAATGCACCTGCTTAGGCAGAGTGCAGTGGTTGCCTGCTGTGCTGGCCCTACCCCAGGGCATGCTGAGACAGCAATTGAGACTGGGCAGACTGGGCAGACTAGGCATGGTGGTGTGCCCCTGTAATTCCAATGTTTGGGAGGCTGAAAAGCAGGAAGATCACTACAAGTCCAATCTACGAGTGAGAACCTGTAGACCCTGTCCTAAATACAAAAAAAAAAAAAAAAACCCAAAACAAAACTGCTTTATAAAAAAGCAATGTAAACACATTATGTACTACAAACTATACTAATAAAAAAATAAAATTTCTAAAAATATTTATTGAAAAAGTTTGAATAAATTGATATTCTAATACCTATCAATCTATTTATCTACTATAAAATTTCCAACAAGCTATTAAATCTTACCAATTGACTATTTAGTTTCAAAATGGTACTGCTCCCTTAATGAGTTTATATAAGCCTGGGCATGGTGGCTCACGCCTGTAACCCCAGCAGTCTGGAGGATGAGGAGGATGGTTATGAGTGATGGATGGCTGAGGCCAGCCTGGGCTACAAAGTAAGTATGAAGCCTGCCTGAACTGCTTAGTGAGATCCTATCTCAGAAACACAAACAAAAAAAGTTCGTATAAGGACAAAATAAGAACATGTATAAGATGCTAAAAGCTGGTTAGGGTTGTATACTCCTGTAACCCCAGAACTCTCAAGGCTGAGGCAAGAGGTCACTGCACCGCTGAGGCCTCCTGTGCAACACGAGGAGTCCAAGGCCAGGCCTGGGCTACACAGCAAGACCCTGACTCACAAAAACAAAAACAGCCTGAACTACGCAGAGATCCTGTCTAAAAATAAATAAACAAATAAAAATCAAAGCAATGTTTAAGGGCTGGCCAAATAGTCAGCCTTTAATAGTGGATTAAAGCTGGGGGTTCAATCCCTGGACCTGCCGTGCCAGACCCACCCCCAGGACGAGCTGAGATGGCAATTGAGACTGGGTATGGTGGTGTACAGCTGTAATTCCAGCTCTTGGGAGGCTGTTAACACACAGATCACTATGGGTATGGTGATCTGATCGCTATGAATCTGATCACTATGAATCTGATTTAGTAGTGAGACCCTGAACACCCTGTTCTAAAATACAAAAAAAAAAAAAAAAAAAGTGTTTTGTTTAAAAACCAAAAAATGGGAGCTGGTGAGATGGCTCAGTGGTCTAAAGCACCCACTTAGAACAAGCTTAGCAAAGCACAGGGACCACAGTTCAATCCCCCAGCACCACATGCCAGCCCGCCCCGCCCCCTGGTGGACTGAGCTGGCCACACACACACACACACACACACACATAAATATAAATTTTTTAAAAATTCTTTAATAAAAAAAATAAAAACCAAAAAATGTAAAATTTTAAAATAATAAACACCAAGTATAAAGTAAGTTACCAACTGGGAATACTGACACACAGCTGTAATCTCAGCACTCGGGAGGCTGAGGCAGAAGGATCACCACAAGTTCAAGGTCAACCAAGGCTACATAGTACATAGTGAGACTCTCAAAAAAAGGTCCAAATATCTGAAGCTAATCTCACTTTTTCTTCACATTCTGACACCACTCAATACATTGAACCAAAACTTTGATCACCTATGCTCCTTCAAATTACTAACTCCTAATCATTATGTTGAGCCGTTTCAGTAAAATCCCTCCCTACACAGAATAACAATGGCTAACATTTATATTATCCTTACTATGTACCAAGTTCTTTTTTTAAGTTATATATATGGATGTTTAACATACCAATCATCAACGGATACAATTATTACCCTCTCACCCTTGATTGTCTTGAGACAGGGTCTCACTATGCAGCTCAGGCTGGCCAAACTCAAAACAATCCTCCTGCTTCAGCCTTCCGAGTGCTGGGATTACAGGTGTGCACACCACCCTTGGCCAATTACCCCTATTTTAGAAATAAAGGCACTGAGTCACAGAGGCGAGGTAGCCTGCGTGAATTTACACCCTTAGTCTGGCACTTGCAAAGTCCATCTCTTCTCAGCCACCTGCATGGTTCTGTGCACTGAAATGTCTCTCCCAAAGCACCTGCTCACAGACAGCAGCTAAACTGAGATTCACTGCACTCCTTCTGGCTTATAAGTCTATCCAATCTCTGTTCAAAGTGAAGATCGCAAGAGGAAACCACTCAGATGGGAGGATTTATGCGCTTGGGCTGATATTATCCACTGCATAGACTCAAACTCCTAGCTCACTCCAGGTTACCACCTTCAACACACCTGGCCAAAAGGAGCACCATGTCCCCACACTGTGACTAAAACCAGGAAAAAAACAATCTTGCCCCAGAAAGATAAGATTATAAATTTTCAAAGAGAGGCCAGGGATACAGTTCAGTAGAATAAGCACTTGCCTGGCAAGCGCAGGGTCCTGAGTTCAATCCCTGGTACTGGGAAAAAAAAAAAAAAAAATCAAAGAGAAATTTTACTATGCTAAGTAAAATTAAAAACAAAAATCTCACAATCCACAAAAATTGATTAGCCAACAGCAAATTTATGATCCTAATTGTTTTAATGATCCTGTCCATCTGCCTGTGAAAACAGATGCTCAGCAGCTACCTAACAAGTCCTGACCTAGTTTTGTAGTTGGCTTTACTCACGGTCCGACAGAGCCTCCACCCAACCAGGACGTGTCCCACCCTCCCATCCAGGTACACCACCTCCCACCTTCCCTCTATGCCACAGCTTGACTTCTCCAAACCACTGTAACCCACTCCACTTCTGTATCTGGTCCCTGATAAGCTTTCTCTACACCGGGGCTCCTCCAGCTCCACAGCACTGACGATTTAGGCAGGACAACTCTGCTGTCAGGGCTGACCTGTGAACTACTGGTAAAGCAGCACCCCTTTTCTCTACCCAATGGACACTAGGAGCACCTGTCCCATTCCCAAACTCCCACCCAAAAATGTCTCCCACCTCAAGACACTACAACTTTGAGTTGAAAACCACTCCCCTGATCCCTGGGGCAATAGCATCAGCACCTTTCTAGAAAATTAAATTCTCAGGCCTACCCTACCGTGGGGAGTGGCTGAGCCTCAGCTGAGCCGGAGATTGGCAAACTCCTTGAGATTAGAACAAAGCCGGTCCCAAAAACACAGCATGCCAGAGGCAGTCGGTATAAATACATTGACCTCCATGTTAGCTGCCCTTCAGCAGGTATCTGGCCTTGGTGTTCTTCCTTCTTCACTACAGCATAGATAGCTCTTAAGAGTTTTGGCATTCACTGCTCTCAGCAAAACACTGAGACCTTGCACTCTTGACCCTGTTGTGCACTCATTTCCTTGTCTTAGGCTGGAGAGCCAGCCAGATAGCTCAGCAGACTGAAGCGCCTGCTTAGGCAGTCACAGAGACCAGGGTTTGATCCCCAGCATGCCACGTAGACCCCACCTTCAGGGCTGAGAGTGCAACTGAGACTGGGCATGGTGGCACATGCCTGTAATCTCAGCAGTTGGGAGGCTGAAAACAGGAGGATCACTAGTCTGAGCTGTATAGTAAGACCCTGTAGACTTTGTCCTAAAAATACATTTTAAAAAAAGTCTGGGTTTGTGATGTTGCTGCCTCTCCATCAGAGGTCAGGTCCCACCCAAACCCAGCTTTCCTTTTGCATCTTGTTCTTCTTAATGTTCAGAATCTCACTCTTCATGTAGGTCATAGCACCCTCCATCTACTGAACCAGAACTTCCAGGAAAAAGGCCCGGGCTCTGGACACTGACTACCTTCCTGGTGGAGCACTGCTGATCAAAGTAACCCTGGGTCTTTCCATGGAGTCTGAGAATGGCTCTGCCCTCCCCCTCCAGCTCCTGCTTCTGACCCAATTCTTTTAGCTCTACTTGATTCATCCATAACCCTCAAAGTCAGTTAAGGCTTCTTCCATCCTCAATTGGAAAATCTTGGCTTCTCCACCTGGCATTTTAGGCAGGTGTCACCATAAACCCTGTGGCCTCAAAGACAGGCTTAATTTATCTCTAGAGACCAAGAGCCAAAAAGAAGACCTACTGCATCTTCTGCCAAAGTCCAAGCATCCCTCAAAGAAATTCCCGGCTTTCTTCTGGGCTCCTCTGCTCCGTTATAAGACAGAAGCCACAACTGGCAGGTCCTGGCCTCAAAACCCCAGCAAGCCTTTCTGACTACTCTTCAGGTTTTTTTTTTTTTCCCCTATAACGTGGTATGAGCTTTATTGTTTTGTGATCCCAGGGAGCAAACTCAGCAGTGCTGTACCACTGAGGAACCCCTCCACCCCTTTTTTTGGAGAAGGCATCTCACTAGGTTGCCCAGATAATCTTGAACTCCTGCTTCAGCCTTCCAAACAGCTGGGATTACAGGTGTGGGCCACTATTCCTGTTTTAAAATTTTAATCGTACTCAGGAGGTTGAGGCAGGAGCATTATGAAGTCAAGACCAGCCTGGACAACACAGCAGGTTCAAGCCCAGCATGGAGTAGAGTGAGACCTTCTACCTCAGAAGAAGGGATGCTAACTGGAGGATTAGAAGCCGCCATGTCCAGTATTTCCTCCTGTTCACAGACCAGGTTTGAACTGTCTTTTATATTAGTCTCTTGCTCTTCCACCTTCAAACGTTTTTTCGAGGCTGGAGCTACTTCATTTTCATTTTCATGTAGAAAGCTACAAATCATGTTGGGTCTGTAGGAGAGAGCATTCTCTTTCATCTACAGCCACTCTGCTCCTCCTGTGCTTTCCTCCCCTTCCTTCTGTCAGGAGCGTTCTGGTCGCGCTGAGTTTCTTCCTTGTGTGGCATTCATATTTCAGCACTGCTTTACTGTTGCCTCCTGTACCCACACAGTCAACACATTCTTCAAATATAATGCAGGTTCCAACAGTATCTGCATACTCCCAGCAAAGACATAGCTGTCCAACTGCATAATGGGCCTGTCAGTGTCAATCCCCAAAATCTTGCCTTTATTTTCACATTTTGAGAGAAAATCTGAACCAATAATTCCTGACAACTCCACCAAGACAAACTGCTCTGCCTCCTCCTCCTCCTCCTCCTCCTCCTCCTTTTCCTCCTCGTCTTCCTCCCTTTTTGCTGCGTTCTCCCACCAGGGATCCTTGGTAGCCGAGGGGGGCCCACAGGGTCTAGGTCACTAGTCACGCCCACCCGGAACCGCCATCTTCAGTACCAGCAGCAGCTCCTCTTCTCCAGTTCTAAAGAGTAACTCACCTCTCAGGAACCTTCCAGAATCCTTTTCATCAATTTTTTTTCAACACAAACAGATTAAACACAAAGATAGTCCCTGCAAAACATCTGAGAAGAGTTTATGATCAGAGTTCATGTGGCAGGCAACCCTTCATCACAATCCATGCTGGAACCAATTACCAACTTCCCAACTCTTATTTCTCCCTCACTCAAAGCTGTCAAGGGTTGAGGATGTGGCTCAGTGGCAGCAAGTTTGCCTACCAGGTACTTCATATTTTTCCATGGAAAATAATGGGGCAGAGGGCTGGAGAGATGGCTCAGTGGTCTAAAGCACCTACTTGGAACAAGCTTAGCAAAAGCATCAGGGACCGCGGTTCAATCCCCCAGCACCACATGCCAGCCAGCCCTGCCCCCTGGTGGGCTGAGCTGGCCACACACTCTTTCTCTCTCTCTCTCTCTCTCTCTCTCTCTCTCTCTCTCTCTCTCTCTCAAATAAATAAATAAAAATTAAAAAAAAAAAAAAATAATGGGGCAGAGCAGTTTGAGACTCAGGTTCCAGCAGAGCCACCAAATCTCTGAACCCTAATTTTACAGCTTACAAGAGGTAAATGAGAAATCTACATCATATTGCTCTTAGTTCCACTAAAATCTTTCAATTTACCACATAAAATCAACTGTCACGAAATCCTTCCTAAGTAAACTATTTTTGGGCTTTACCATTAGTATCTCCCACCCCAGCATGCTCTCAAAAGCAGCTCCTCCAGACCCGGCCCCGTTCAAGGGGTAAGGGCACACCAACAGGCTGCTGAGCTGAGTCACCTGGCTCCCACACTGTAGGCCTCCCCTACCCACCCCATACCTACCTGTGCCCCAATCTGCAGGGCTGCCTCAGTCTTCTATCTCCAAGTCTATCACTGGCTGACTATCTGAGGCTGTTATTTCGAAAGTCTCTTTTACATCTAAAATTCTAAAAAAAGAATCACTTGAAAAAAATCAGAATCCAACCTAATTTTATACCAACCAGAATGAATATTAAGCAACTCCTGAGGTACTGATGTAAGTTGCCAAGAAAATAAAATGTTTTTGCCCAGAAATAACACTCTGGTAAAGGTGTGCTTGATATACAAGCTTCTATATTATCATTAAAGCTGCTCCCTCTCGGCCGGCTCCTTGTTTCCATGGTAACAGCCCTTCCACTCATCAGGCCCTGCTGAATATACCACTCTCCTCTCTCTCTCCTGCCCAAGGAAGTCAGAGCAGAGGTCGAATCCACAGGAGACAACACAAACAAGCCCACAGGGGCACAGACACCTCTCCTCCTATGTATTCAAACCCCACAAGCTCTCCCTTCCCCAAAAAACTCCCCATCTCCACCATCTCCTCGGCCTCTACCTCCCCATATTCTCACCATGTTGGAAATGCTGCGGGTGTTGGCAGGGTTCAGCATGACAATCTCAGTGGTGATATGACCCTCTACTGCCTCCGTCATCTCATCCACTGTGCAGTTGATGGATGGGTCATACGTCTTGAACCAATTGTCAGCATACCACCCAATGAGGAACCAGACATACTTCTTCCCAAAGAGCCGCTCTTTGTACACCTGCACACAGACAATGGGGAGGGCTGGGGTATGGTTTGGGGGTTTTGTGTGTTCTCTCATTGGATACTAGTTAAGACTCTCAGGAACCAGATAACAGCAGAATTAAGAAAAATTCTACAAATTGGGTAATAGACGGGATTCAACAACCCTTCTTCTAAGTTCCTGCCTAACCCCTCTTTCTGAGTGCCCAGTCAGATAACCAGGAAGGACAGGATTTATGAGCTATCCAAGAAATCAAAGGAGGGAAGAAGGTGACTACTGCATGTGGCTTTGTGTGTGCAAACACGAGTGTGTTTCCGTGTGTGAGAGAGAACAGGTACAAAGGACGGAGTCAGAGAAGATCATATTAATCTTCACCTCAGTCATTTGCCATCAATTTCAGCAGAGACATAGGAAGGACACCCCAGCAGAAAACCAAAGCAGAGTCCACCTGAACCCCACAGACTCCAACCCCACCTCACAAAACACTTTACGGGCTTCAGTCTCATAGAAAAGTCCCACGATGATCCGGGCATCTTGGCGCTGCAGGTGAAAACAAAAACAGAGTTCCTGAAGGTGCCTGGGTGCGCACAGCTTTGCTTTCCTACCCCAAAGTGCTCAGTGCAGGGTCCTGTACGATGGGCAGGGGGCGAATATCGGCTGGAAGACTGAGCTTATCTTCCTTCAGACACTGTGCCCCACAGAACCAAAGGTGTGCCCTCCCCCACGCAGTGAACACTGTTCCCCACCTGCCTCTCTGCAGGTTGAGCCCTCCATGCCCAGCCAGCCCACCTTCAGGTTTTTCACGGGCACAGCTGGATCCGAGAAGAAACTCTGGCGGAAGGTAATCTCAATTCCGGCCTCCTTCACTCGTTCCTCTAGGTCGTCCAGGGTCTACAATGGGAGTGAGAAGCAAACAGGAGGAACACAAGGTACATGATGGGGCTAACAGGGTCATTAAGTAGAGACCACACACTCAGAGGAATGGAGCAGGACTCAAGCCAGCCTCCAGCAGCTCTGCCCCTGGGTGAGGTGAGTTCGGAGGCAGCACCCAAGTGAGCTGCGTCAAGGAAGCCACCAGATTCATTCTACTACTGAGGGAAACATGGAGCACAAAAGAGGCAGGGCTGGAACAGACAGCAAGACGCAACCTCAAGGGCAAAGGGCAGGCAGATAAAAGGTTCACAGAACGGCCAAAAACACTGAGGAAGGAGGATGAAAAGCCACCACACACAAGTGCGTGGAGGACCCAGCAAAGAACACAGCTGTGAGGCAGCAGCCAGCCCTTTCCAGGTACCACGCCAAGTCTTCCTCTCTACTTCAAGTCTCCTGTCCTTTCACTGCTCTGTGTCCTTTGGGCATCTCTGTGTCTACTACCAGACCTGTGTGTGTGTCTCCGGCCTGCCTGCCTCGCACCCTCCAACCGCCTCACCCCTTTCCTGTTCCCGTCTCCCTCTCCACTGCCATGCACACCCCTGCTGCCCCACTTGAGCTTTATTCCCTCTGTCCCCCTGACTCAACTTGGGACTGTACCCCTTTTAATCGAATGGAGTCACATTAGGTCTGTCAGGGGAAAAGAGCATCAAAAGGAAAATTATAAAATAAAAAAAGAGAGTTCCCTTTCCCTCTAGCTACAGAAAGAACATGTACTTCACTCATGTGGAATGTGTTCTGTGATTTAAATAAAATCAAACTTCCCACCAAATTGAATCCCTTCTCATCTCTCCCCACAGGACCTAGAATGGACGCCCCTCATATCCTGCCCCCAGCCCCTCCTCACCGATGTGAAGACTTCTGTGGTCTGCTGGATGGTGGCAATCTTCTTCCAGCCCCACCTTTCAAAGAGTTTCACACGGGTGGGGTTGTGCAGTGTAGCTGATGGGTGTGTTCGGAAGAATGTAGGGAAACGCTGCCGGTTTGACAGAGCTGGTGAGCTGGAGCCGTAAGAAAGCTAAGAGGGCCAAGGACAGGACAAACACGATGTCCATGATGGGTTCCTCGAACGCTGCTTGGAGCTCCTTTAACTCTTTCCTTGCCTCAGGGCTGTTTCCCCTCCTTCTCAACCTCCCACGCTGTGTCCTAAGAAAGGTGAGTCTAGAAGGTGGCACACCTCTCACGATCAGCATGCTCTGTCAGTTCCTTCTGATGAGGAACCAGTCAGGCTGCTTCTGCAAGGAGGCCGACAAGCAGTCTGCAAGTGCTCCCAATCCGGATGTGGGTTCCTCTCCCTGCCCTCTTAAACATAAAGCCACTACCCCACTTAGTACAACCCACCTCTTGGCCCTCTCAGGTCTGCTTACCACAATGAGGTTCCACATCCGGGCAGCCTCAGCCACAAGTGTGGAGACAGAGCTGCAGCCAGGCATGAGGATGATCTTGATGGGGTCATTGTAGAGCAGCTCATACAAGTACTTGGTGGCTTGGCCTGGGTCACACTGGGTGAGGAAGGAGGGGACAAGGCAGGCTCTGCCAGGGCCCCCTTCTCCTTGTAATCCCTATTGCTTCATCTTCCTAGACAACCTTGTTCCTTCCTCAATTACTCTCCTTTTCAATGACCAAATGCTCTTCCTTCCTGACATTTTGTCAGGTTTGTTTCTCCTGTCAATAAATTCCCTTCCATCTTCCATCTGACCCCTTGTCCCTTTCCCCTCCAGCACACGCCTCCTTCAGTACTTACTAACCCACACACCACTACCTCTTTTTTTTTTTTTTTTTTTCCAGAACCGGGGATTGAACTCAGGCCATTGGGCTTACCAGTCAAGTTCTTATTCTACTGAGCTATCTCCCCTGCCCCAACCACTATCTCTTTTTCAACTCACCCTCAGACACCCCCAGGCCCACCTCCCTGCTCCCCACCCCTTCCATCCACCAAACAAGTTCCAACACAGCCTCCTCAAAGCCAGTTATAAAGTATGCCTCACAAACTCCCTCTCCCCATCATCATCATCATCTTCTTCTTCTTCCCTCCTCCTCCTCCTCCTCCTCCTCCTCCTCCTCTTCCTCCTCCTCCTCCTCTTCCTCTTCTTCCTCCTCCTCCTCCTCCTCCTCCTCTTCCTCCTCCTCCTCCTCTTCCTCTTCTTCCTCTTCCTCTTCCTCTTCCTCCTCTTCTTCTTTTTAATGTTTTTGAGACAGCATGTCACTATGCAGTTCAGGCTGGGCTTGAGCTCACTTTGTAGCTCAGGATGGACTCAAATTCGCAACAATCTTCCTGCCTCAGCCTCCCTAATGCTGGAATTATAGGCATGCACCACCACACTCGGCTACCCTCTTCTCTTTTCAGGGCTAGTGATAAGTACAGAACAGTAATGAGGCCAATAGGGGGTCTGTTTCGCACCCCAGCCCCTCCTGCTGGGCTCCACCACTGGATAGGCCCCATTAGAAAAGACACCCAAGGTTAGAAGCAGGGAAGACTCTCAGAGAAGGAAAGAATGGGAAAATAAATAGAATGGAACTCTCCAGAAACCAGATGCCTAGAACAAAGACACAGAGCTGGGGGAAGTAAGCAATGCAGAAAGCAGGAGAGAAGCTGTGTGGAGGGGAATACAGGGGGAAGGAGCCAGTCGTGGGTCTCCCCTGCTGAAATATGACATTTCAGAAGCTGCTGGAGCCCCAAAGGAAGTGGGAAAGAAATGGCAGCCAGTGGGGAGCCAAAGGATGGGGAGAGTGAGCTGCAGAGGAAATAAAGAAGGCTCCCTGGAGCACGCTCACTCCCCACTGAGACCTGACATTTGGGGTGCTGAGGGAAGTGAAAGGGCAGGGGACAGGAGAAGAACCAAGGGCCACCTAAACATGCTCATCTACACTCAAGACTTTCTCCTCGCGCCTGGCACCTGGGTGTCTTGGTGTACCTTTACCGTTCTGGGCTCCTGCCTGCCTACACTTTGCCAGCATCTCTTACTCCAGAGCCCATGCCCAGCTTCCCTCCAAGGTCCCTCAGCACCCTCCACTTCTCTGAGAAATGTTAACAGGATCAAGACTGGACACACAAAGAGTCTACAGCTCCTATGAACACGGCAATATGAGCAGTCCTCACGTGTGCAGCCTCTTTGGTTTGCTGCTGCTTGTCTTTCATATCCCTTGCACACCCTTTTGGCCTCAGAAGACCCCTCCTTATAAGCTTGTCCCCTTCCAGAACACTTCCTTCATTCTCCTCCTTGGCTCTTGCAAGGTCAGCACCTGCTGGAGGGAAGGGGTCCTTCCCAGCTTTGGCTACCTTCTCCTCCAGCCCCCACTCTTAGATAACCCAGCTGCTCCAACCCTGCAAGGGACCACCTGTTACAAAAAAGGAGTTTGGGCTCCTAGACTGGCTTCCTGGCACCAGTGATCACCAGTCTCAGTCCCCACTCCATCATGGCTCACCAATCATCCCTCCTGTACCCCAGGCTTGATGCATCCAACAGATCTGACCATGTTCTTTCCTTCCTGCTTCCCCAACCTGACTGCTAATTCTTTCCCAGCACCTTGCTTCTCTTTCCATAGGCACCCTGGGGTTAGCTCACCAGGGAGGATTTCTGTGGTAAAGTTAAAGGTGCTACCTGGTATTCCTCTCTGGCCAAGGAGTTAGAGAACATACGTAGAGTTTTTTGTTTTGTTTTGTTTTGTTTTGTTTTGAGAGAGAGACAGAGAGACAGAGAGACTGATTAACTGACCGACCCTCACTATGTAGCACAGGCTGGCCTCAAACTCATGGCGATCCTCCTGCCTCAGTCTCCCAAGTGCTGCGATTACAGGGGTGTGCTACCACATCTGGCTTTTAGAACCTATATTCTTAATTGTCTCTTTTGGTGCTTCCCAAAGCACCTTACCTGCACCCCTATTCCTGATCCCTCTCCCCTCACATGCTTATTTTTAGATATATACTCCCATTATAGAGAATGAGTATAAACCTCTGACATACCTCAAAGTGTAAAATCACCAAATCCTCCCCTTCTCTATTAGCCTAACATCAATACCTTAAAGAAGATAAATTGGATAAGGCTCCAAATCTCCTTCCTTCCCCTTTCCTCCACTGTTCACTTTGGACTGAAGGGTGGAAAAGGAATCTTACTACCAGTTATCTTCTAATAGCTTGAACCCAGATTTTCCTGCCTTCCCCTTCTCCCTCCCCTTCAAACCTATACCCCACTTGTCCTCTCACATCGAGGCCAGACTGCCAAAAGGGAAGGTAAAATCCCAGCCCAAGTCCTTGAGGATGTCCCAGGATCTCTCTGGAGGGGACCTGCCAGAGCACTCTACCCCCACCATTCTTGTTCTCCTCCCTCCCCACGTCTTTCCTTTCTGGTGTCTTGACTCCTATATTATCATGAGTCAGGACATATATCATGAGGGTGCCCATGTGAACCCTGGGCACCATCTCAGTGCCTCTGCCCACCTCTTGGCCGTTCTCTTCCCAGCCCATGTATTCCACAATCCATCAACCCTCAACAGCACTGAGATGGAGGAACTCAGAGTCAGGGAGGTCTCACAGCTGCCTTGCTGTTTGTTTTGGTAAATAAACCAGGACTCTCAAGTCCCTCAAAAGCACCCTCATTCCCTCTCTACTCCTTTCCACAACCTATGCAAGACCTACCTTGTTACCATGGTAAGGGTAAACCCCACCTCTGACATTCGTGCCAGCCCCCAACCCAGTCCAGCACTTTCCCAGAGAACCTGGATCAGCTAGAACACTAAATTCCCCACTCTCTGCATTTCCAGAGCCTCTCCCTGCAGGTCAAAAGCACGATTAACACCTCGACCCCCAGACTCTCTCACTCTGACCCTCCAGGAAGGTGCCCCGTCTCTCTCCCCATGCTCCTGCCCATCTCCGTTGTCACCAGGGAGGGTCTGGCTCACAGTCCCAGAAGAGCCCTGGCACAGGCCTGGCCCCCCGCCCCCAGGCCCCGCCGCCCACTATCACACGGTGCTACCTTGCTGTCGTGGTGGATGAGCTTGAGCTCATAGTCCGGCAGGATGTCCCTGCGGCTGTTCACGTCCTCCAGCGCCATCTCCACCGCGGGCTGGCAGGCCTGGCCCCCAGGCCAGCCCCCGCTCATGGGAAACAGCGCTCCAATGTAGACTGCGCGCCGCTCTGGAGAGGGGTGCGGGGGGACCCTCGGGTGAGGACGTGGGAAGTGCGGGGCCTGGGAGGCCCACAGAGGTGCCACCCCCGCCGCCAGCGCCACCAGAAGCGGCAGTGGCCACCCCGCCCGGGGAGAGGTGGGCCCCGAACCCATGGCAGGCGGGGAGAGGCTCAGGGGGGGCACTTCTCCTGCGGAGGGCTGCTGAGGGGGCGGCGGAGAGGCGCCTCCATCCCCAAGGTAGGCAAGGGAAGAGCGGGCCGGGGCTGAGGAAGCAGGGAAGGTGGGCTGCCCGCCGCCGCCGCTCCAGCACAGCACGCCACGGGGTGCTGCCGCTCGGACTCTTCTGGCTGACTGACTGACCGAGGAGGAAGAGGAGGAAGAGGAGGGGAAGGAGGATGGGGAGAAGGATGGAGAGGCGGGAGAGGCGGCGACTACAGGGAGGGGGCACTGACGTCACGAGGGAGGGGGAGGGGATGCGGAGGGAGGGGGAGATGGGGAAATGAGGGAAGAGAGCATAAGAGGGAAGGGAGGGGAGGGGAGAACATGGAGAAGAGATGCGAGGAGAGGCGGCGGGAGGGGGGAAAGGAAGGATGGGTGGAGGGGGCCGGAGGAAAGGGGGGTGGCCGGGGGCGGGACGAGGTCCACCCCCTCCGGGAGGAGCGAGGAGGAAGGGGGACCGGCGTGCTGGCTGGCAGCGCGAGGGAGCAAACTCTGGCGAGGCAGTGGCCCGCGGAGGGCGGTGAAGGAGTGGGGTAAAGGGAAACAGGGAGGAAGGGGTCTGGAGACAGAAATGCACGAGGACGCGTTAGTGCAGAGGACGCGTTAGTGCAGGGACCGAGGAGCACAGAAGAGCAGGGACTGGGCAGAGCCCAAGCAAGGAGGAGCCAAGGAGAGAGGGGAGGAACGTGAACACGCGTGGGACAGGGCTGCCAGGATCCTAGCAGGAGACCCACGCGGGAAGCAGGCAGATTCCCCCTCCCCCCGCAAGACAGGCGAAGAGGGGTTGGGGGGGGGGGGCTCCCAGCACTTGGCGCCCCGGGCCCCTGCGGGGCTGCACCAGCGTCTAGGAGAAGGAGCAGCCCGGAGTGCAGCCAGGCAGGGAGGAGGGAGGAGCCGCAGCCCGCGGGAAAACGACTGGAGGCCGGAAACAGGTAGGGAGCAAAGAGGAGGCTGCAAATGGGGTGGGTGCGAGGAGGGGTGGAGGTCACATCCACAGTCCAGGGCAGAGCTCCCATGAGTGGGGGGCTGGAAGGGGCTGCTGTGAGGTTTTCCCATCTCACCTGAGTGCGGCGTTCGGTTCACTGGCAGCAGGAAAGACGGATCAGAGAAGAGTTACAGGGCGCCCGGCTTCCCAGGCCTGCGCCCCAGCCCCCTCCCACACCTGTCCATCGAAGACTGGGGAGAGCAGAAGCCTGCGTTTCAGAGGGGAGGCTGCCTGAGGATAAGAGCAAGGTGGGGCTGGGGGTCAGGTTGTGTAGTTTCTTCATTTTCCATAGGACAACAGAATTTGAGACTGGCAGCAACAGCTACGGTAGAGGCAGATTCTGGTTTTGCAGAGCCTGAATATTATAAAACCTAGGGGTCTCTCTATTCAAAAATATTACAAATTCAACTGGTTTTGAGCAAGTGCTGTTAAAATACCATGTTTTATAATTTTTACAAAACTCTTTCTATGTATGATCATATTCTTAGAGCACTCTACGTTACTGGAGTGTATGAGGAAATGTGGAACCCAGCCCTGGATAGGTCACCGTTCTTCCAGAATGGAGCAATAAACTACAAAATTTAAGGAATGAGAAGACTGGGATCTGGAAAGTGCCTTAAAGGGATAGAAGCATGAACACAGAAATGGAGCTGCATCGCAGGAGAAAGCACTGCAGAGGGAGCATTCGTTCACACCCCAGAAAAGGGAGCCTTTGCAGAGCTAGATGGCAAGAAAGGTGCAGGCACCACAGTGAGCCCCGTGGGGACAGTGGAGGCTGACACTGAGGCGCTGTTCTTCGCACCCCACTCCTGAGCTGTGCCCCTACTTTGAGCTGCTTTACACTAGAACATTTACACCTTCAGGTCACTTATCAATTTTTATTGTGGCCCTGTTTTGTATTGGAAACTGTACCTATATCCTCAGCCCTTTTCCTTTTTCTTTTTTTAATTTTTTGGAGACAGGATCTCACTAAGTCACTTTTAGATTGTCCATTTGTAATCCTCCTACCTCAGTCTCCTAGAGCTGGGATTACAGACATATAAACAGGCCTCTCAGTTTTTACAAAACAATATACGAGTTCTGAATCTTTATAATAATTTTCTTATAGACTCACTGGTAGAGGATCAATTCTAAAAGGTAATGTAGAGAACGTTCTAAATTTAGAGAAAGGGGATTAGTCTAGAGAAAACTGGAGTATTTAAACCTTAAAACAGTGAGAAAGGGTGGGATTCACAAAGGAAAATAAAAAGGCCCAAGAACTGGGAGCAAGAAGAAGATACAAAAAGAGGAAAAGAAAGAAGCCACTAACATAAGTAAAGTGGATACTGGGGACTGCAGGAGGAAGTCTGAGGCAGGCGGATGGTGGGAAGGGCTGGGCTTTCGCCTCTGCCTTTCCAAGCCCCCCCACATTCTTCATAGCACCGAACCCATTCCCCCCCCCACTCCCATCATCCAAGCGTCCTTCAGCTGCATGTGGGCAGCTGTTCCCCTCACCCTGGCAGTGGGGCTTGGGGGTGCTCCACTGGCCCTGACTACAGATGCTCCGGGAGCTGCCCACCAGATGGAAGTCGGGGTCACACCGGAAATCCACCCGGGCTCCGTCCAGAGCTGGGAGGTCCCCACCCGTCAGGAAAACTTTCCCATTTTCCAGGGTCAAGTAAGACTTGGAGCAGATCCGAACTGTAGAGAGACAAGAAATTGAGAAAAGAGGCAAGTTGGAGAGGTCATTCTCCACGAGAGAGCAGTTTAGGTTGGGTCCACAAGCATCTGCTCTACAGAAAACCAGGTGTCAAAAGAACCTGCCTCCCTACCTTCAACTCCTCCCTGAACCCTGCAGCATCCAGTCCCAAAACAAGAAACAGCACTTCCCTTGCAAGAACCCAAGATGGAGCTCTAAGCACACAAAATGGGTTCTCCTCTCCTCTGCCACAGTGGGTGGTTCCCTGCCGTGCAATGTGTAGCTGTACTGTATATAACTTTGTGTGAACAATCACATTTGCTTTTCTTATCATGGTTGGCTTATATTAACATCAAACTCGCTTTGGGTTCCTGGGCATACTGTTTTACGTTGATGTCAGACTTGTTAGGAAATGTAAAATTGTTTTAAGAATTTTTTGGATTATCTGCTACCTCAAGGAGGATAACTCATAAAATGAATAATAAAATTGTTTCAGTGGTCAGAAGCCTAATAACAGGAAGATGAAATGTGTAGGCTGCTAGCTTTAATACCTCCACTGCACAGAGCAGCATCCCTCTTACAAACCCTTCATTCATTAAATGAATTTGTGAATTTGGTCACTGAATTTAAAGTGCTGACTTACATACAGTAAGGCTCAGTTGCAGGAAAAGAAAGGTCTCCAGGGACAGGGGCTCCAGACGACTCACCACAGCGGCTGGGGATGTCCATGTCTGTCCAGGAGCCGTTGGCTAGGCACTTGCGCACCTTGGGCCCCACAACCTCGCGCTCCCCGCGGCACACGTACTCGATCTCATAGTCCACCGGCAAGAAGTTGATGGCCTTCACCTGGTCCCGAGTCAGGCCCCGGTACCGGATGCCCCCTTCCCATGGCGGGTGTATGATCTGGCAACCTGGGGGCAATTGGGGGAGGCACACAGAGATGGGTGATGGAAGGCAGCCAGGAAGGCTGGGCTTTGGGGAAAGCAGGGCGTGGTCAGCGGGATGGGCTGAAGGACTGTAACGGGAGAGGTGCTGCTTGGGGTAGTGGAGGAGTAATTAAATCGCGAAGGGCATCACATGGGGGTGGCACTTGGCAAGAAAGGGAGGGGCCGAGGCAAGGCTCTTTTAAGTTGAATTAGAAGAGAAAAAGGGAAGCTCCTGGCCGTCCCAAGTGGGATCGAGGAAAGGGAGGAATCACCTTCGTGTGGGGCCAAGAAAGCCAGATAGGGTTGAGTAAATAATTCAGAGTCACAGAAAGGGGGTGCAATGTAGCAACGCGGAGCTGCGAAAAAGGGTGCTGGGTAGTAATGTGGGGTGGCAGAAAAGAGGTCAGGAATAGTAAAGTGGCGTTGGGCCGAGGGCACGGACGAGGACGCTGCAGGCTGAAGACCAGGCGGGGAAGGTGGAGGGACTGGGCCGGGTCGCCAGGGAAGGAGGCTGCACCTTCGGAGGTGGCGTTGGGGGTCTGCGCCCCGGCGGCGCCCAGTGGCTGGAGGAAGAGCGGCGCCAGCAGCAGCAGCAGCGGCGGCGGCGGCAGCATCTGAGTGAGAGGCGGCTGTGACACGGGGGCCCGCGGCCCGGCCAGGCGCGGCCTCCTCGGCGCCCGCGAGTCCCGCCCGGCGCGA